AGCATGCTAATATGTATCTCCGTTGTTGTTGGCCCAGCATGCTAATATATCCACTGTTGTTGGCCCAGCATGCTGATGTTGCCGTTGTTGTTGGCCCAGCATCTAATATCTCCGTTGTTATTGGCCCAGCATGCTAATATCTCCGTTGTTGTTGGCCCAGCATCTAATGTTGCCGTTGTTGTTACCCCAGCATGCTGATGTTGGCCCAGCATGCTGATGTTGCCGCTGTTGTTGGCCCAGCATGCTAATGTTGCCGTTGTTGTTGGCCCAGCATGCTGATGTTGCCGTTGTTGTTGGCCCAGCATGCTGATGTTGCCGTTGTTGTTGGCCCAGCATGCTGATGTTGCCGTTGTTGTTACCCCAGCATGCTGATGTTGCCGTTGTTGTTACCCCAGCATGCTGATGTTGCCGTTGTTGTTACCCCAGCATGCTGATGTTGCCGTTGTCGTTAGCCCAGCATGCTGATGTTGCCGTTGTCGTTAGCCCAGCATGCTGATGTTGCCGTTGTCGTTAGCCCAGCATGCTGATGTTGCCGCCGTTGTTGGCCCAGTAATACAAAAGAGCAATGAAATGTGCAGCGCTAGTGCAGCTCCAGAATACGAAGCGTCGAGTCGATGGCTTGCAGGTGCACTCGCAGGATCACTAAGAGCTTTTGGGTGAAAAATATATTTCGAAATCGGATGAGGTTCGAGAATCCGCAGGAGAATAGCAGAATAATTTCCACTGAGTTGGGAATATGGATATTTCGGTTTGTTTGAGACTAACATGCCATATTGTACTTGTGAAAATGAATAGCAGCAGTTGATACTGAAATTAGTACGAGATTGCAAGCGTACAATACAAAATATCTTATTTAGTGAATGTTATGCACATAATTTCTCTAAAAATATGTGGGATATTACTGCTAAACTTTGTTGAAGCTAGTCGCTTCCAGCTGTGGAGATAAGGGCTCAGAAAATAGCACTCCTCAGTGACGCCCGGCATCTCTGTTTCCATCTTAGTGTAAACCACCGCGAGCTTCTGAGCTAAGACATTTTCATCCTATAAGTCGGTCTAAGTGACGTCGTTAATTAGGATAGCGTTAGAAACGAGGTCTGCATGTTTTGTTTAGCCGATCCCAGAGAAAGAGATGCAGAATAAGGTTGCCACACATGGGAACAGTTTGTGCAGTGCATGTTGTTCTGGAGTTGGAAGGGTTGGCAGCACTGAATTGCCTCGTCTAGATAGATGCTAGCAGATAGCTCGAGCGAATGCCAACTCGTGTGCAATTTATGTAGTTTGCCGTCTGCTCTATTATCCACACGGGAAAAATGTCTTTGAAATATAAGGTATTGTACGAGCTGACGCAATTGTGAAGCCTTCACGCTGTAATTTATCACGCAATATTCAACAAAGTAATACATTTTCAAACTAGATTTTTAAGAAATGGGATTGATTGGTAAATTTCCAAATAGTTTCAAAATATAAAATTTGTCATTAGAAAAATATATGATATTATATTTCTATGTGTCTCTTATTCTTGGATTTTCTATCGGTAATTCATGCATCACAATAAATCTTATCAGTCCATTGATGAAAAAATTACTTCATTGATGAAATTAGTGCTTCCATTTTCGAAAATAAAAATCGGTTACATTGAAACATCGAAAATAAACATCACGAACGTGTACATTTAATTCAACAAACTTTCTAGTCAATATTGAACTAATTCTTTAAAAAAATAGAAAATATTATTCCGAATATTGTCCTTCTTAAACGGAAATTCTCCTAGATAATTTTTTTTCAAAAATTCTGGAAAAATTAAATAATAACATATGGTAATTGAGAATATACTAACGAAAAATTAGGCAATAATGCCGATGAATCTGTTGAATTTTCTTTATCTTTTATTAGAGCGCCTCAACGTAACAGAACAAAGCAAAAAATTTCATGTTCCTTATTTTAAACGTATTATTATTATTATTTTTTTATTATTATTATTACTATTATTATTATTTTTATTACTATTATTATTATTATTATTATTATTATTATTATTATTATTATTAATATTATATGAAGTTCTTGTTACCTAGAACTTTTTTCCTTCCATTTATATGACCTTACGTGTGATAACAGAACTAACCTGCTCCACAAGTGATGAAGATCTCGTTGCCTAGAACTTATTTCCTAGAAGGTAATGCTGGTGTCGATGTGCCTACAGGGGCACATGGCGTGCGTGGCAAATGACATGGTCTGCCCTGGCAATCTCACTGAAGTTGCGATTGCTTCTGCCTAGCAAGGCCGCGATCTTGCCTTGCACTAGGAGAAATTTGTGAGACATTGTCCAAATATTGATACACCTTTTATTCCTGTGTGGGTCGTGCTCACGCAGTTTGGTGAAAATCCCTCTCCGGTATACGTCAGTTCTACGGTTGTGCTGTGGTTGAGAAAGTGTCCCTATTTGCACAATATTCCCCACTAATTTTTTGAGCACACAATGATCATCCTGAATTAATTTCGATGCTCTAATATATATGATATGTAATATATGAATATGAATAATATGATGACTCGAATATAAGTTTGAATATTAGAGAAGCCCTCCAAAACCTTAGCAGTATCAAGCTTACGATCCCCCACTGTATACTGCAAGAAATTGCGTTTTGCATTTCGATGCAATTTTTATACGTAGAAAAGATCAATGATATATGTATACTGTAAACTAATATGTGAATATACCGATGATTTGGTAGTTAACTTTTCATTAATATTTCAATATTTGCGACGCAAGCCTTTACAAGAAATAAGAGTCTAAAATGTTGACTTATATGTTAGATATAATACTTTATTAAAGCGTGTTAAACTGCTTCTCGTGTTAAGTTTGCGATCTCTTTCCAATAAACTTTTATATTGCTAAAAAATTCTAAGATTTGGGATCGGTTCAAATGCTGCAATGCTTACTTCTTTCATTGTAAGGTTTTTCTTTCAGTTTTTTTGCAAGAAATGATAGGTAAAAAGCTAAATCATTGCAACAATTTCGGTATTATATATAAGGTCTTGAATGCATCCTAATAATGATAATAGTAATATCCTAATATCATATAATAATATTAATCATTATTTACATGCATCATATAGCATAATTTACTACTAATCATCTGCAGTGTATGACGAGTAAATTATTTCTAAATAAAAGAGTGTTATGAATTCTTAAACCCTCGGCATAATATAAAATAAACTGTCTAAACTTTAACGAAAATTAATTCATTAATTAGGGTTTTTGCAATAGATTCTTGCAGAACTAAATAGTTATTTGTTTAGGCTAGATAATGATTTAAATATTTTGAAATAATATCATATTGACATTTTTTCATAATGGCCAAATTATCCTAGCTAACACTCAATGATGAAGATAACAATTGAATTTAACTCAGGGAAATTTTTTTGCAAAACTAACAATTATTTAACTGATGAAAATTATTATCTTAAATGAAAATTTTTAGTGAACCCGCGCCGCAGAGAGAAAAATTATTTTTAAAGTCCATTCACTGCAACGCCTGGAAAAGATCGAACGCAGATGCCGAAGTTGAAATTCATTTGAAAATCGCATTTAAATCATATTTTTTGATGTCTTGAGTGTGGCAAACAAATCGACGTCGAGGCTATTTTAAGATGAAACTGTGGAGCTTCCATTGAGAAATCATAAAAGTTTATAACCTCGTATATACGAAAGAAATTGAATTACAAGGTATTTGTGCACGCTTGTATAAATGATTTATCATATATCATATAATAAGTTTACATGGAGAATTTTTGTTTCTGTATTCTCTGCTACTTACGTCTTTCAAAGATATTTCATAAATTATTTTATATTAATTTTTTAATGACATAAAAAGTTTAACATTCCAAAATTTTAATTTTCTTTCTACATACAAAACAGCACTACAAAATAGACTGTATTTTTCTATCTTTCATGATGTCTCCCCGATCGTAAATATCCAAGTAATATAGCGCAAGTTGTATATCATGTACTATTTGTTCGATTCAATCGATGCATAAATTATTTCATTAGAGATTCACTTCTTGTAAGAATTTTTTAGATTGAACAAGTATGAAAAATATAGTATATAATGAATTCAAAGAAGTTAAATCTCCCATATTACTATGGGAAATGAAATGTATTATTCCCAACAATTTAAATCACCTCCTAACTTCTATAGAGAAACTTTTTGGTACATTCATCCTGCTATCTGGAAAAAATTCTCTTGAAAAAATTCTTTTAAATTAAATAGAATATACTACAATACGTCGATGTTCTCACACAGACATCAACTATATGGAGTTTTTGGCCCATTGATTTGAACAACATGTTCATTAATTCATTGCATATATTTCTTTGGTGTCAACAGAAATTTCAAAGACATTCTGTTATAAAATTCACCGCCATTTATGGGTGTGTCGAGAAGCACATTTATTTCTTATCACATGAAAAACCATGGAATTGCAATCAGGTGTTTCAATGTCCTGACTAATTTGAACTATGATGTTGAAAGGAAAACCTCTTGAAGGTTTTATAACCGGAAAAACAACAATGAAGACTGCATCATGTGAATAATGCATGACTAGTAATGAACAATGAATTCGCAATTCCTGAACTCGATGACTGTGATGGAGAAAATGTTCAGAATTTAAATTTTATGTGATTCGTTTCGTGAAAGTCCACAAAAACTGAATGCATAGCACGTCGAATCAGAAGCTGAAAGTTTAAATAAAGAAATACAGTAATGAAATGAGAGACGTTTTAATAAATTAATACAGTAACGAAAGACGTTTTAATAAAGAAATACAGAAACGAGAGACGTTTTAATAAAGAAATACAAAAACGAGAGATGTTTTAATAAAGAAATACAGAAACGAGAGACGTTTTAATAAAGAAATACAGAAACGAAAGACAAAGACTCACAATGTGTTTCGAATAAAATAACTTAAAAGAACAAATTTTTGAGAGCTGGAGCGCCATGCTTCGGAAATTCGTTCTTCAGGTGCAGCTGGCGACGCTGCTTGTGCTGCTCCGCTACTCGACCGTCGGTGAGTACGAACAAGATGTTAATTTAGAAGATTTGGTAAAGATAATTTCATGAAAAATTGTTGCTCAATGTTGAATTTTTATTTATGGTATCCTAAAGTCTCAGATAAAAAATCTGTTTGAACTGTTCAGGGGCCGTATACTATCGAATATAGTTGAGAGCTTGCAACTCCGTCAGCCAATCATTGGCGGTTTTTCGAGATAAACCCGCCAATCACATAAGAGGAATTTGCCGCTAGGTGTACATAAACTAACGGGTGTACTTAGGTCTCTACTTAATTGTCCTTAGGTCGCTACTTGTACTTGAGCCGCTACGTGTACTTAAGCCGCTACGCGTACATGGGCCGCTACGTGTACTTGAGCAAATTTTTATGGTACGGCCCTTGCTCTTTCTGGCTAACAATGACCAAACCGTAGCCGTGAAATTGAAAAAAAATTGCACGTGATAAATCTAAAAATTTATACACTAAGAAAACTCCACAACAATTCATCATATCTCTATTGAAAAAGTTAAGAAGTCCATCGTCATCGCCAGACTCCGAAGCGTTTTCAAGATATGGTGACTTTTTTGAGGAGTTTTCTTCACTTTTAAATTTTTTGTGAATTTCCTATCTTTAGTGACATTAATGAATCGGAATTAATTAATTCCGATCCATTAATGCTTGAGATTAAATCTGATATGAACAATTTATGCATTATTTGAAGACGATTCTGCACCAAAAATGTTTTGAGCAGTATTAAATCAAATTACTCTCTGGTATTTAATTGCCTTAATTTAATATTCAATAGGGTGTTTATATTTCTCCGTCTTCCTTGCACTTTAATGTCACCGTCTCTTAAGATTCTTCTTATCTTCCTTTCATTTTAATATCACTGTCTCATGAAATTATTCTTATCTTCCTTTCGTTTTAGTGTCACTGCCTCTGAAGATCCTCTTATCTTCCTATCATTTTAACGTTACTTCTCAAAAGATCATCTTATCTTAATTTTACTTATATATATGTCACCGTCCAATAAGGTCTTCTTATTTCCCGTCCACTTTAATTGCACAGTCTCATAAGATCCCACGTATCTTATTGTTTTACTTGTACGCAATATTTTCGAGCGCAGATAGAGTTGCCAGACGATCTATAGTGATGAAATTAACTACTTTGTCTAGTTCATCACTATAAATTGCCCATAAATATCGAATTATTTGTTCGACAGTTGGACTAGTTCTTCAGGCCTGTTGTGAAAAAATATAACTCAGTACTCACTTCAGTGAGTGATAGAGAGCGCATATTCTCGTCGACGAAAACGTGAAGTCACGGACGGACAGACTGACATGGCGAGCACAATAGCGCATTTTTTCCATAAATAAGAAAATACACTAAAAGGACTAAAAGCCTTATTATTCGTTTCAGCGTTAAAAGCAATAGTATTATTCTCTATCGATTTTCCTTAATTGACACCAGAGCCATTTTTCTTATAAGAAACACTGAAGAAACTGAGCCCAAAGGTTTGGCTAAAATTCTCAAGATTTCTACGAAAATATTTATTAAACAATGTCTAGGAATCTTGGTTTTAGCCGACGTTTATACTTCTGTACAGAGATTAACTTACTCGAATAATTTGAAATACTACCTGATTAAGCAATATGAAGTAATGAATAAAGTAAAAAGTTGTAGGAGAAAAGAAAACAAAGAAAAAATTACTGAATATGTTTTTATGTATTTTAGTTCAAATGAAGCGAATTTCAACGTTTTCCAAAATTGGAGTGTTTTAAATAAATCGTTAAAAATAATCGTTTTTAAATAATCGTTAAAATAAACGTTTTTGGCTGGAGTGTTTTAAATAAATCCAGTATAATGATGCTATCTAATGACCAATACATATGAATTGGAAGTCCACATTATTTGGCTACTATAATCCGTTTTACCACAAATGTCACCTCAACAACATCATCTGAACAGCTTTTTCCTGTTCCGCTAAAATGATGATGGTAGCTTTTTCCTGTTCCGGCCATCATACGTTTCGATGATCATTGCAGAGGCGGAAAATAGACTTGCTTCAAACATGTAGTTACATCCATATTTCATGCGGCTGATGGATTCATTAGGCCTGAAAGCCAGCATCAACGTAATGATGATCCAAGACCTTTCGTTCATTTCTTCCATCAGCTTTTATAGTGCCTGATGAACAGCATCGTTTTTTTTCACCATTAGATTGCCTCGAAATCTCTTTCAGTCGGGCCGCTAATTGAGTACCGATTGATGTCTGTCCGCTAGATCGGAAGTACGATTTTATCGAATTCCGCCAGTGAGATTCCAGCTTGAAGCTCCATGACAGACGCCCTTGATGATCGCAGTGCCACTCGGTGACCGAACGGCTCTCTCATCACAAAAGATTCCAGATTCTCATCAGTACATTTCTTTCTTTTTGAGACCTCCGAAAATAAGAGTGTTTTCTTTTATTTCAAGTCGTAGTTCGGCCGAGTAGACAGACGGATTTTAAGTCTTCTTCACTCCACTCCTGCAGCGTAGCACTGATTTTACGATACCTGTACTGAAAGACGGTATTCTTAACACAGTAATTCTTAACACAGTCCACATCATATATCATGATTTTTTATTGAATATGTTTCTTCCATTTTGCTGCTCCTTGGACAAGATTGTATCCAGCGTCATTGTTTAAAAGACAATTAAGCTCACTGCCTCCGACTAATCTCTTACAGTTCCCAGAGGTTTCCGCAACCACGAACTCAAGCGGAACATTTTAACGAATTCCGACAACTCGACACACGGCAAACATTGGAGGCTGTCCCTCCAGTTCTCAAAGTACGAAATTTGCAAATTTATGTCCACTGAAATATTATTCAAAATATGAATCGGTTAAATTACAGTATTTAGAGAAGTTATGCATTACGAACAGAAACTTTCACACAAGTGAAAGACCAAAAATAAGATCTTTTAAAAATATCTAAAAATATAGGTATCTTTTTGACAATATCCATCCTCATATGAAAAATTATAATTCAAAATTTGTATGACTCCTCATGCATGAAAAATTTTACGGGAAACTTGATGCAACGAGAAAGAAAATTTGCCCAACAGTCATGAATCTTGCATACTAATGCTGTCTGCTGCTGCTTGGTTATCATTTGAGTTGAAATTCATGACCGTCAACTGACCTTTTAACTCGAGTCTCGCAAGGCAGAAATAATTTATTCGATTCGTTTAGCTCACTTAGGTGTCATGAATATTTTCTGGGATAACCGGACCTTCCAATTTTCAGACCCAGTTCCTATTTCCAATTGAATTTGATATCGTCGTTTACAAATGCGACTTCAAACGTAAAACTTGTAAGTGGTAATTCTTAACTTCGTTCCTTGCTAAAACTTTGCTCGGTATTTGCACGACATCGTTATATCTAATTTTACATGCATCATAGTTACAAAGGATCTCAATTATCATGGGTGGAAACAAAATTTGTTGCTATTTAAATTTTAGATGGTCATAATGAAACGGTGAACTACGCAAAAAACGCTGGGTTGATTTGATAAGGCTTTGCATAAAACGCTTCAGTTAATAAGCACCTCTACCTGAACCGCGCACAATTCTCTATTTTTAGAGCATTTTCTCATTTATGGAAACAATGCCCTATTGTGCTCGCCATGTCCGTCCGTCCGTCCGTCCGTATGTCCGTCTGTCTGTCTATCCGTCCGTGACTTCACGTTTTCGTCGAAGAGTCGAAGAGAAAATGCACTCTCTGTCACTCACTGCAGTGAGTACTGAGTTATATTTTTTTACATTAACATGCTATCATGAATTAAGTCCTTCAGATCACCACATCGTCAAAGTTCCCGTTTTTTTCTCAGCTTTGTCAACAAAAAAAAAGTATTTGCAAACCCACTTTCTATAACAAGTCCTCGGAGTAGAACGCTGCTCTTCTCTCTTCTTGTCATTATTGTAGAATATAATTAATAAATAAAAAATAGCGGAAATATGAAGTTAAGATTCGAAATATATATTGGTAAACCTAAACATTTCATAATTGTCGAAAATCCCAAGTTAATCACCAAGCAATATCACGTAAATCGATAGTGACCAGATAACGAATATTTAGATTATGCCATGGCGATGCACTTTAAAGGAACTCATCTTGAGCTACGTTCATAATTAAATCTTTACCGATAACCGTTTCAAAAAAACACCCTCTGAATTTAATAAAGAAATGAAGTTGTACACCTTGAAATGTAAGCAGCATTTCCGGCACGGAATGCCAGCTACTGATCAGTCATTCCATATGAGGATAACTTTCACAGACATTACCTTCCAGCCAACAATGCCTTTTTTGACATAAACCAAAGCATTCCACGCACTAAAATATTTCTCCCGTATTTGAAAGTCAATAAAAACTAAGGAAAAATTGCGCATGTAATCCAATACAAATCTGTTTTCGTTTCTTTCGGATCTCAAACTTTCCTGAAAACTTCGAAACAAAATGCAGAAGAGTTTTTTGAAAGAACTGATTGAACTGGGTCTGCCTTACGGCTAAGAGTACGCAAACTTGATGAAATTTATTTATGATAAATTCCTTTATACGTTTAAATCATTTCGTTGCTGTAATACATGCGGTCAATACATAGAGATTGAAACCTATCTAAAAATTAATGAGAAAAATTCGAATAGTTAACAACAATGACCAATGACCAAATAAACTGCACAATGTCTCTAAGGCATATTTATGCCTAAATATTACCATCGTTAAGCTATTCGTATCTAAAGTCCAGGTAACTCGTGTGATCGTCAGATGTCAAAGGTTTAATCTGAAGTCCACATTTTGCATAAAATGTGCAAAAATTTTCACCACAAACACAACATGAAATTAATGTTCGTCTGCTCCATTAAGTTACGTTTTCGCTTAATTTACTTATTTAAAATTTAAGATTAAAAATAAAAATCCATACTTATTCTGTTATTCGTGATTTTTGTTGGATTTTAAGCTGCACTAAGATAGATGC